ACCGAGAGACCTAAACACCTTGACCCAAAACCAGACAATCTTATAAGTTTCAATAGTAATGCTAAAATGTACAAAACAAAAGCTATTTTCTCAATGCTCCAAGTACGGCAATCTTCAAGACTCAAAGCCAATTGATGATTAATTCAGCTAGAACAACGAAAATTAGCAAACAGCAAACCACAAAAAACAAAACCCATTTCTCAGAATCAGCAAAGATGAGATCTTTATCATAATTGGAACCAGAAACGAATAAAAAAAATGCACCTGTTCGATTTTGGAATTCTTCTCTCCTGATGTTATTGATGGAGGCTTTCTATCTTCATCTTCCAAGACATCTTTGCTGTAGAATGTGAAAATGAAGATTGACAAAGCAAAGAGGATGACTATGTAGTATGTGATTGATGAAGGAGATGAATATCTTCTAAAGTAGATGGATGAATTCTTGGAGTGAGAAGAGAAGCCTCTGTAGTTAACCATCTCTTCTGACTCTTTCAACTCATCAGAGAAAGATCTCTCTGTTACTCAATTTTTTAGCTGTTTTTTGACTCATGTTCAGCTGGGTTCCTCGCTGCTGTTTTCCAGGAAGAGGGGAGAGGGGTCGGAGGTGCAATATGTGAAAACTGACAAGTTAGGAGGAATTACTCAATGGCCAACTTGAGCTTGGCTTGATCAGAGTTGGTCAAGCTGGGTTAATTATTAACTAATTAAGAGGGAAAATGAACAAGATTTTGGTATTTAAAATTTAAAACTCAGCTTGATTTCCTCCCAAATGGGCGTAAAATTGAAAGTTTATCTTATAAATCAAACTTTTAGTTTTATAAAAAAGGGTCAATTGCACTTTGCACCCATCAAACTTGAATTCTTTTCTTTTTCTTTTCTTTTTTTTTTATAGAGAAGACTGTTTCATTTAATAAATCTGTATTAGTGTTAGAAAACACATCATATCAAATATGACACGGATACATATAAATATGAAATTAATAGATATAACAGATCTGAAAAAACACATCGCTCTCTGCAAGTAGATTATAGGATTTTAATCAACATCCCATTATTTCAGTACAAAAACTGATTAAAATGATAAATAGTGCTAGCCCACTGTGACTGGTTTTCAAGCATCAAAAAACTCTGCATCTAAAAGCCATCATCTCACCAGAATTTTCTTCTTGAAAGCTGTAAACTGATAATATGAGAACTCATTATTATTATTCAAAATTACACTTCAGTTAATTAGAGTTCACATAATACATTAGAACCAAATTACCCCAAGTGTCTTACGGTTCAAATAATTAGAGCTTGGGGTGCAAATTGGAAAACAGGATAAGTTGAGAGTGCAAATTTGGATGTAACCTACTAACTAACGATTTTTGGGTTTAATTTGTTCAAGGTTGTTAATAGAGGGAATAAGTGTGGTGATTGATCTAAAAGTTTAGAATGCAATTAGTCCAAAAGTAAAATTGAGGCAGGAAAATGAGAATTGATCATAGATTAAGGGGAACAAAGTCAAACAAGGGATCATCAACAGGATTATTCACTTTCTTTATTTAGTTTTACTTTTCCAATTCATTAACTTTGCACAAACTGTACTAGCGATTAAAGCAGACTCCAAGCATGCACCAAATAAAATTTTATTTTTGAAAATATTATTTCTATGATAATTGACTCTACATTTTGAGAATAAATATGTAGAAGATTTTTGCTATATGTTCGTGTAAATGAATAGTTATTTAAAAAAGGGAAATATTATTTGCACTCCTATTTTTATTAATCACATTCCCACGATCATGCTAATTATATAGTTTTTATTTATTATACTATACGATAAAATAAATGGTAGGAATGCAAATAACAAAAAAAAAAAGCAAATAACATTTTCCATTTAAAAATAGTACTATTTGGCTATTGAATGGTAATGCAATTACTTAAGAATGGTAGAGGGTCCAGACTGGAGAATTGGAAAAGTTTAGATAACCGTTCTGATGAAAATTGAGCTAGCGTGAATGTGTGATTAGTGTTCAAGTTGTGGAGCAATGATATTCAATTCCAAGGTGTGACTTTTTTCCCTTTTTTTTTTTTGGGCAATAGATTAGGATTATTGTATCATTATAAATAAGGATATATATATATTTTTATCGACACGATAACTTCTATATTACAATTATTCCTACTCAATACTAGGGAAGGAAGGAATTTAAAGAAGTCAAGAGGAATCAAGTGAATCATCACCGATTCAGATGGATACCTAAGCACCCACTCACGAAATATTTCCAGGATTATTAGAATAAGTATATATAAGATACTGTAAATATGACTATTGTTTTCCTTTTTTTAAATATGACTATGTGTGTCAACACCAAATTAATACTCAATCTTTGTATATTGTATTGTATGTATAGGTGTGTAGATAACCAATGGCTTGTTGGTCACCATAAAACCTTTAGTGCTTTGTGGGGTGTTTTTTTTTTTTTTTTGATAAAAACAGGTTGAAATTTTGAATCCGGTAGTAAAATGTTTCTGACGGATTCATGCGTTGAAACGATGGAAAAACCAAGCCTAGAGGATGCATTGGATTTCATCTTTGAAGTGAAACGAGCATTAATCAGTCATCCAAACCAAGAAAATAACAAGTACCATCATTTCTGTTTTGCCCTCGATGAGTTCTATCGTCAAAAAATCAGTGCAGAATTTTTAGTATCAACATTGGAAAATTTATTTGAATCCCATGAAAATTTGCTCTCAGGGTTCAAGAATTTCTTGCCTGAGGATCAAGAAACTAAAAGGGTCACTAATTCTTGTCGAAACAAGGGAAATTCTGTACCTGAATTCCAGAGACAAGCATGCAATGAGTTTATTTTTAAAGTCAGGGATCGATTCAGGAACAACCCTGAAGTAGACGCTTCATTCTTGGACATATTGGTCTTGTATGGAAAGGGTGATAAAAGTATGATCGAGGCTTATGAGATGATTTACAATCTGTTCTTTGGCCATGCTGATTTGATAGGTGATTTTGACAGTTTCTTCAGTGATCGAGATGAGAAAGTTCGAAAAGAGATCGAAAAGATTCAGGGTTTTGTAGATGAAGACTGGTTGCATGAAGCTGATAGATGGAAGTCTCTACTGTCTTCAGCCAAAAAGGTAGCCAAGAGAGTCATAGCTGGAGAATGTCTTGATGATGATACCAAATTCACGCCCATGAACTTACGTTGCATTGAGAATTTGTATGGCGAATATGGTCCGGAAGTAATGCAGGAGTTGAACAACAATCCTGGAAGGGTTTTGCCCATTATTTTACCTCGTTTGAACCAGAAAAAGTTGGAACTTAAACGGGTTAAATCTTGTATGATCAAATTCTTGCGTGAATGTCGGCATCGCCGTCGTGGAATAGAATGATTTCTTGCTTCTGTTTTTTATGTTCTTCCCCTTCTTTTGTTTTTTAATTTTTTAACATCCTTTTCTTGTCTATATGCTTGATTTTACTCTAAGCCTGCAGGCCTGCCAGTATGGTTCTTCAGTTTCATGAAGAAAGAACATCTGAACAATTCTGACAATAAAGATTGATTTTGGTCTGAAATCTGAATACAAAGTATAGAAGATGGGATTCTGTGGTGAAGCAGCCAATTCTGGAGTCGAGTGCTAAATATGTTTCTTCATAGTATGTCTCCTGCCCAATGCTTCCATAATCAATCAAGACGATACTAGCAAATCCATCACCCCGTTGTCAACAGCTCAAAGACTGAACTTAACTGGAAGGTGAATTGGTGTGTGGTATTCCTAGTAAAGTTTACAGAAAAATGCAGTTTTGGTACCCAAACTTTGACACATGAACGGTTTTAATTTCCAAATTTTGGACAAAAACAAATCTAGTACCCAATTTTTCAACTATTGAGCACATTTAGCACCCTTGACGGATTTTTCCCAAATTATTACTGAAAAAAGTTACGTAATAGTCATATGTCCGAAAACTATTATATAAAAAAATGCCAAAAAAATGTTAAGGTCTAATAATTTTATCAAATAAAATATTCTTCTGACACTAAGTACTAAATTTAAAAACTAATAATTTTATCAAAAGGATATTTTACATTTTATGATATTTTTTTATTAATAGTTGTTAAACATGTGACTATCACATGACTCTCTCAAATAGCAAAATGGGAAAAACCGTCAATAGTACTAAATGTGCTAAAAAATTAAAAATTTGGGTACCAAATTTGTTTTTGTCCAAAATTTGGGGATTAAAACTACTCATCTGTCAAAGTTTGGGTACCAAAACTGCATTTTTCTCTAAAGTTTATATAATCTGAAATCCCTTTAGATCACAAATCAGGTTATCTTTGCAACTGTAGTTCCTCAATTTCATGCGTACTAATTAGACTCTAAAGTCTAAATATCATCCCAATGAAGTATTGAATCTAAGCCTTGTATACAATTTGCACCCAGTAAAAGGGAGTCTTTTCTGTCAGGACTTAGAACTAAATACACAGATTGTCTCGTCTTCCACTTTCTGTTTATTAGTAAATCCGATGGAATGCAAGCAACCAGAGACAGGTTCTTTTGACAATTTACAAAGACCGATTCTCTTTTTCCTAGTGATTAGTACCGATAGACTACAATTTCACTGAAAGATGACTGTATTTTGACAAAGGTTTGATATTGCTTCAGGTGCTTTTGATCTACATAATCAGCAAAATGCTTGAAAAAATCTGCCTGTTCTAATTAAATCTAGTGCCTTTTCAAGGTCATATTTTAATTTTGCAAGTAATTGCCACATTTACCTTCTTCTGACTTGCTGTGCTATAATCAGAGAAGCATTCCAGTATTGCTACAATACCCCAATCATCTTCATAACTATTTTATGATATTCATGCACCTGAATACATCATATGATGCTCGGGATTCAGTCGAGAATGAGTAAAACCAATATGGAAATTAAAAGACTTCTTTCTTAAACAACAAAATAACCCTGACTTTGAATTAAGTGACTACAGAACTTGTACAAGTTTAGAGAGGAAAAAAGCCTTTGATTAAGAAATCTTTCAGCCCTGTATTAAAAATGAATGCTGTTTCTAAAAGGAGAGTAACATTTTATACATGATATTTATGGTAAATGCAATGCCAATTTCTAACTAACCTGTAGTGTGCATTGTACAAAACCAGTAAACCGTCACAGCTTCAGAGTAAAACAAACGCATCATGACCGATTGGACACTGGAGACTCATTTATTAATCTATAAACCCCAAGAGCAAAAGTATCAATAGCTCGTTCAACACCTGCACTAGGTAACGCGGATAAGCAGCACCACCATTACGAAGATAAGAGTCATGGCAAACATCAGGAGCCATGTGAAACACGAGGTCTTGGAACTCTGGGAAAACACGCCCGCGGCCCGAGTATTAGCATGCCCTGTGCTGGCTAAACTATGTTCAACTGCTCTCTCTGTCGAATCAAGTAGCTGCACTCAACAAATTATATATATATCAGTCGACATGACAAACCCCTAAAATCAAAAAAGAAACCTGGGAAACCGAATTCTGAAAATGTCGTCACAAACTACAAAAGCAAAGCAGCAACCACCCCAGAAAGAGAGAAAAAGGGTTCCAGAAAATACAACAGAATATCTTCAATCCAAAACAGGAGCTCTAATGCAGACATGATGAATCAAGTGGTTACTTTTTGCAACCTTCTGAGATGGGCAAGCTAGTAAATGCTTCTGAGATGAATCAAGGTGTTATCATTTGCTCTTAACTTCTGCCTTTAGCTTATCTTAAGCTAAGAAAAGCCAATATTAATATGCAGACCATGAGGTGCAACTGAGAAAGGCTTTAATCAATCAAATTTTCAGAACAAAAACATCCTTCTAATGTTGTGAACACCTAATATCATTTCACAATTTTCTGTATTCATCTTTGCAAAAGCTGAAGCAAACAGGAAAATGCCTGTAGGCTCCCAAAAAATATCAATTTCAAAATTATCTTCATAGTTTCTTTATATTTTCCTTTGCCAGTGAAGTTCTTCGTAAAATAAGTGAATGTGATTCCTGAAATGTAAATTAGCACTATCAAATTCCCTATTCCTTTGTCTGCTCATGTTTTCTATGAAACAGAACAAAGCCTTTGCAAATGAGCATAACTACAACTTGCAGATCCTGCAAGGACACAAAGGAGATCTATCTCTCCTCCTACCATGAACTCATTCCTAAAGCAAATCTTTTAGCATCAGTTATAACATTTTCAAAGCAATAGATCATTTAAACCACAGAGATCATCTATACCGGCCCAGTAAATGAAGAGAAACACTGGAACAAAAATTGCAAGCTCATAGCACTAAGCAAAAATTACACAAGTGACATAGCTATATCCATAACATAAAGATATAAAGATACAAAAGGATTGCTCTAAAATTGAACAGCTCAGATGGCCAAAATTATAAAAGGCACCTGTCTTAACCCAAAGATGCAACTCGATTGCACCTAAAATTGAACAGCTCACATAATGACAGTTATAAATGGCACTTAGCAAACAATTTGAAGCATCTACAACACAGAGAATCTGCATGACAGAATTCAAAATAGGTCTTAATTCCCAAAAACTACTTGAAGATTAGTGGCACCAAGGACCAGGATTCAAACTCCCTCCAACATAAACAAAATTAAAAGTGGGGTGTGGGTAATGCTGTTGCAATGTTTGGCTTAGGAGATCATCCCTCATCATTCTAAGTCAGAATAAACATCAGCCCCTTTTTGGTGATGACACATCACTTCCTAGCAGCAGACTTTACTTCTCTATTTACCTAATTATGGAGCTCAAAGCCCTTCTGTTGAGAGAAGAATAATGAACCTAGCGAAATCCAGCGAGAGAAACAAAAGGGGTGCGTCCATTTAACTGATGTAAGTCCATCGTTTTCTGACATATTTACTACTATAAGGAGATCAGGCTATGCCTTTTGGTAAGACCATTATTTTCAGGAAAAAGTTACCGGGAATAGTTAACAACAGAACAAACAATCAAGCTGTAACTACCAAGTTATCATTGACAAACAAGTTAAACCCCATCAGCATAGTTATAGAACATTCAAGAAGCAACCTACACTAAAAGCTACCTCATAAATCTTTTACAAGATTGGGAACAGGAAAAACACTGAAAATAACTAAATACTTTCAATCTTAATGGACTGAATATGCACAAAATCAGCAAGACAGCATAACATTTCCTCTATGCATCATACTGGGTGAACAAAACTGGAAGAAGAAAGAAGCATGAGCATGTATGATTCTGTGTGTCAGCTAAATGTATTATTTGAAGAAAATACCAATGTAGTAAACCTTGTTTCTAACCCCAAAAGAACAAACTCACACATAGAAACTTGGACCCCGTTCACAAAAACATGTTGAATATTTTTATGTTGCCAGTGTGAAAGCAATATAACTTACTTTCTCAGTGTTTTTGACAGATTGATTCATCAACAGACTACTTTCTTTGAGTTGCCGTGCCAAGTGAACCATTTCATCAGTTAAATCCTCTTGAAGCTTCCTGTAAAAGCATAATCTCAGCATAATCTGCATAGAGAACAGCAAGGAGGAGGAAGGGCGCCTATGGTGCATTCTCTTCCTCGCCAATTAAAAAGTCCTAACGAACTCGGGGACAACTCAAGCATAAGACTAATAAACCAGAATAGCTCAAGTTTACCACTGTCATAGACATTTTTTTTGGTGGGGGGGGGGAGCAAGAAGATGATATATATCAAGGTACAAAAAATTGATTCTATTATCTAATATTCAAGTCAAGAAATGTTGGCCTCACTGAAATTTGGTACCACTTTTTTTTGTATTACATTATTAATAAATTATGAGTTATTCAACTGGAAAGTCTAGTTTCACAATCTCATATTGGAATAAATTTCAGCAAAAAGTTTCATTTTCGCATTTTTGTAATAAAGACATATATTCCTTTTCTCTAGTCCCTCGTTTTGATTATCATGCTCATTAGCAAATTTCAAGTGTCTATTTCATTTATCTTGTTTCTTTGACCCTTTTATTGATAACTTTTGATAGTCGCTTGTGCTTCTGATATGTGTCCATGAACATGCATTGTGTTTAAGGGACAAGATTCTAGACAGACAGATTTTGATTTTGTAAATTTGCATGTTTCCTTGAGTATTTTAACATTCAACTAAATTTTAGGATAATTAAATACTATATTTGTTTACGAACCAAGAAAGTTTTGCTTAAAAAAAGTTGTTTTAATCAACTTTCTTAATTAATTAAGGAAAGACACAGACACAAACAAGGTCTGACAGGAAATCCATTCATCCTCTCCAACCACACCTAGCAGAAGCGGTTTTCCTTTGATCCTGTCATATGTAATTTATATGAAGGATGCTATTGGGAGTTTATAACCCACTAATTCGAACACCAAGCCCAAACCAGACCTTCTAGTTCCAGTAAGCTTATATGGCTATCAGGAGCATTTTTTCAGGCAGAAACTTTACTACATTGGTATCTAAACAATACCTGTGTTTCTGAATATGTGTTTGTGCAGAAGCATCCAATTTGACTGGCGTTGATTGCTCGGATTCTACAGTATCATGAGACCCATCTTCAGTAATAGACTGGGGCCTGCAAAATTCAAAATTGAACTTACAAATACCAACAAGCAAGCATACAACAACAGATACCCAAATTTGCATGAGTGCTTACCCAAATCTCCTCCTTAATCCTCTTGGGGATTGAACACTTTCCCTGGCTTTAGCTGCATCAGTGACAGAAGTTCCAAGAGAATGGTCCTCGGTTACTTCCACTATAGACTGAATTTTGCCCAAAAAAAAAAAAAAAAATCAATCTACTGAAGCAACACACCATAAGGTTCAGGAAGCTAAAATTCCACATACCCAATAAGTAACAAAACTACATGTTACAACAGGGAACTACTTCCATCCGTTCTCCTAAGGAAAACCTTAATGATGATGCTCAAAATAAGGTGGTGTTTGGAAAAGAATAAAATTGCTTTTATCAGAGATACAAGATTGAGCTAACAACATGCAGAAATATGGTACCAAAAGTTCCTATGGAGAGCCACTTTATCTGCAACGCAACATCCAAGTAAAAACTGGTCCTAGTTCAATGATGGCAAGCTAGCTGCAAACAGGAATTTATTTTCCTCTTGCCAATAGAGTTGAAAAAGAAACTAGGATTAACCTTCCTTTTCAATGATAAGTAGAAAATGAAAAGATTCATGTATTTAAATTTAACAAATTCTAACTATTTAACATTTATTTTTCTCAAACCAGTTCAACAAACAAATAACAAACTAAGTTCTCATGAAAACCAGCCAACCCAGAAATGCTTCATACACTATTCAAGGAACTCTTTGTCCAAACTAATCTGAGACCCATACACGCTCAGTAAAAAGACACCAGGCCAAGGAAGATAGGATATAGAAAGATGGCATACCTATGCCCAACCATGCAATACGACATGCCTCAAGATTACTTTCTTACAGATTATTTGTCAGAAAAATCATCGAAGAATTACACCAACAAATGTGGTGTTGTAAACTGCCAAACATTGATGCAGATCTAATTGCTTGGAAAGAAGTATTATGTAACACCACACAAGGTCAATGGTAGGCAAACAAGTTTACAGATCAAACTCTAAAGGATTAAAAATAGGAGAAACTTGCAAATTAATTTCTTTCCTCCAGTCTTTTAAGCCCCCTCACCTTCGGCTTCCCCTGTCACATCCTCTGCCAAGTGGTAATTTCCATTCCAGCACATTTTTAAGAGTTCATTGACAAGAGACTTGATAAAAAATTGGATTATACATCTTTTCATTGAGGAATTATGGCTGAAATGGCATAGTTTTTGGAGATTGTAGCCAAAATAATGTGCTGTATGAGAAGTTTCTAATTTGAGCGGAATATTTCTTATATATCAATTTTGAAGGACTGAAAATAACTACGCCACTATTACATTGATGTGCCTTACCTGTCAAGATAAGTATGTTTATGGAGTGGTTAGTGATGTTTCAGCTTGATGGGGTCCTGTAGATAAACCTCAAATGCAGAAGAAAATAATGAAAGAAGGAACAAAAGGAAAAGGCAAAGAAAAAAACAAGTAGGGGAAAAGGGACAGAACCAAAGTAAACAGCACGCACCCATCTAAGTGCTATGCTAGAGGATGATACTGTAATTTCATAAAACACTACATTTAGAGTAAACCTGAAGAAAAAGTAATATTATTTATCCTATTACTCACGTGACTTCTTTAATTTAATTGACATGCCCAACAACATAGTATCAATCTGCTACAATATCTACAAATTGCCAGACGATTTTTTTAAGCATACAAACTTGTATACACTCTTTAAACTATTGAAACCAAAAAATGATCAGTAACTCACCTCCACCTCAGGGGTAGCTAATCTGGCAGCAATAACTTCAATTTGGTCAGAATACTCATTCAGCCTAGCTTTTGAAATACTGTTCAAAAAGCAGCAAAAGCAGAATAAGGAAAAGCTTTATTTCTAGATAAGGAAATAGTTGAGTGGAAGATTTGTTGTGTGTCGAGATTCATTAGGAAATTTTGACCCCTGACCTATGCTCTGCCATTTAGAGGTCTATGCTATTTCCAATAAAAGATAAAATCCAATTGTAGTTCCATGGTCCATAGGTTAGAGGACCATGAATACTTGCATCAAACAAAGTATGAGCATAATAAAGCAAATAACTTGTGCTGTTTGTATGTATCTTTCCTGCAACGAGTCCACCCCCACTTTCTTCAGATAAATTTTGACCAGCTGTGCTCAAAATGGTTAAAACGTTTCTTTTCATGTCTCTGTTTTCCTATTAAAAATAAAACCTTTATAGGGAAAAAACATAAAATAGAACATTGCATAAAGACCTTGGTAATCCTTCGTTAGTCTTCTCTTCAGCCAATTGCTCCAGTTGCTCTCGTAACGTGGCAACATACTGGATACCAAGAGACAATAATGAACAAAAGATTTTAAAAAACAAATAGTTAAAGCCCAAAAGTGCCTCAATCAGTTATAAGATTTAAACAAATTTTGGCTCACTGAATTAGTATTTGGAGGTTAAAATCAATATCTAATATGAAGTAGAAAAGGGAACGAGAAATATCTTTTCTGCTAAAGGACAGAAGATAACAAAGTAACACAGCACAAAAAGTCATTACCCAATACACAGTTGGACTTGAGAGGTCTTTACACATACATGTATGAGCTTTGCCTGATTCTGTTGCTGTGGGGCAGCTGCCAGTAACCTCCTCAAATTGATCTCTGTTTTGCTCAAACCCATAGAAATTCCTACATGTGTCAATGCTTGTTGATCAGAATAACCTTATTTACCTTTAAGTCAATGTATACGATAGCTAGAAGTAAATTATAAATGCCTTTACAAGCCAAAAGGAAGCATATTTCAGTACATAAATACACATAATTGTGCAAATATCAACTTGAAGCAGTACGGATTCGATGTCTCTGATTTTTCTTTCACAGTTTCAAAGTTCAAGATCAAAGAAATTTCATATACATACTCCTAAGCAGAAGTTTCTATATTTCCAGATGGTATTGTAAATGATGAATGGGAGCTTGCTACTTTTACTTAAACCTTTGAAGAAAACATATGAGCTTGACTGAGTATTAGAAAAAGTAGTATAGCTTAAAAAGACATTTCATAGTTTACACAATCGGATGTAAGAGAAACAATCAATCAAAAGAATTATCACTAATGCAATCACCTTGCAGCTGCAGCAATAAGGTGAAATCAAAACCAAAAAGTGTAAGAAAATCATACTACCCAGACAAAACTTAACACCTCCTAACTCAAGTATCTGCTCATCAAGCTTGTCAGCCCCAAACAGGGATACTCAAAGTCAACCTTGAGCTCCCCAAGTACTTGTCTTAGGATTCAAATCCCACTCTAGTAGTACTTGAGCTCAAATTAAAGGCAAAATTAACCAAAAGCAAAACCCCAAAAGTTTAATCGACCCATTAATGGAAGCTAATATCTAACAGCCAGAATTGCTCAAAAATCAATCAATTCAAACCACAATTACTCATATTTAGTTCCAAACTCCAATTAGCATAGCAACGCACAACAGTGTGGACCTAAGAAAAGAAACCACAGCTTGCAAATGTTTTACATATTTCGGCATTTTCATAAACACTTCAAAGGCAAGTACTTAAAGAAGGGAAAAATGATATTCCGCTCAAAAGAGGCCAAAACACATCAGACAAAGCAGAGAAACTACTTCCCTGGTGTTTCAGATATGCATTTAGGCAATGCCAACAAACTACTTTTGTCCCTGATTCTTTCGTTCTCTTTTGGATGCGTCTGTGCTTTCTTTTTTTCTTTCTTCTTTTACAATCGCATGCAACCTTTTTTTTTTTGGGTTAGTTGCAACCCCCCCCCCCCCCAAAAAAACAAAAAAAATCCGCAAAAAAAAAAAGAAAACAAAATTTTATTCCCATTTATTAAATGATCAATTCATCCTCCCATCAGAAGCTTAAGTTACCAAAGAACCCTGTTTAGTGGAGGAGATTGGCGTTTTATTAGACCATACAAATAACCTATGAGGTCTCAATTTGAATTAAAATTAGAACTATTGGGGGTTAGACGTGAAAATAACCTAAACAGGAAAATTTTGAAGGCAATTTTGAGAAATATCAACTTCTTCCTCGGATCAGATATCCAGCATCTCTGATTCTTCTTCTTCATTATTTGATTCCTCAAGTCCGAATCAGGCCATCGTTGGACTAGCTGGACTTTAACCATTTTCACACTAGCAACACACACAGGTCCCACAGTAATCAAACAAAAGGAACATGAATTCCTTCATCTCTTTCGTTTTGATATTTCCTTCGGGAATTTCTACAAACGGCTATTGCGCAGAGTAGACAGAGTAGAACCCAAAAATTTTCACATGTAATTAGCACAAAAGCAGCAGCAAAATTCAATATTAACTATCAACGTACCAGTAAAGTGAAAAGAAGAAAAATATATTAGACCCAAAATTTCGACAAAACACCTGAACTTCCCATGTATTTCATATGCACAAATAAAGCAGCCGAAATTATATAGCTTGGAATAGAGGAAAGAATAGACCTTCAGCAGTGATCGAGGCGGAATCCGGTGAGGGGTGGCGACGCCGTCCTGGTTTTCTGACGTTGCTAAGACTGACGTCACTGATCTGCGTTTTTTTTTTTTTTTAATTCTAGTTTCCCCTTTTTTGTTTATTTTTGCTGGGCTGGGGGCTGCAATTAAAGTTATAACATGTATATAATGTTAGTAGTTTTTATTTTTTAAAAAATAAACACTTTATTCATACGTAGCGTCTGACAAAAATGAGGCTCAATTTCTTGTTTTTAGTTTTAACATGCTGGTAGGATTATGGAACGCGTGTCTTTTTTTTTTTTCTTTTTTTTTCTTTTTTTTTGGAACGCGTGTCTATTTATTTATAGTAGTAGGTGATGCATCATACAAGTGCATCGGACAGAGGCACAAAATGAGTTGTCCCTCAAAATAATCTCGAGGCTAAAATCTAAAACAAGAATTAAAAATAAGCAGACATTTGTGGAATGCGTCTAGTGGGTTTAATATATAATTATACCCTACGAATACTTTTTTTTTTTAAATGTTGCAAAATCAATTTATTATCAATTTTGTTAAATGCTTCTTTTTCAATATAAGTAACTGAACCTCTTGAACTTTTTAAAATAATTTGCGAATCACCATCAACTTGATCTTCTACAAGTTTCTTTTATAAAATTTATCTTTACCCTATTATAAATAAAAATCATAATAACTTAATTTCGTATTATAAACAAAAAGTTTACCATCAACTTGAATAATTCTTATTTTTGAAGACTTTGAAGTTTGAAAAAAAATGATTTGAAGAATTAGTTTTCTCGCTTCACTCAAGAAAGTTCATCACATGTGTTTCGAAATTTTAGATCAATTATTCTCGAACTAACTTCCATAGATAATTTGAAATAGATTCAAAATTATTGTGATGGTAAGAATTATGAATTTTCAATTTTTTGGGGTTAATATATATAGGAAAGAGAATTTAATAAAATATAATGAGGTCAAATCAGATGCATCTTTAAAATTTTTCAAATTGCCTAAAGCTAAGAACTAATTTTTCAAAGTCTTGACCCCCACTTGCTTATACGTGGCTCCAAGAGGTCGTGATGGGTAGGGGTGCAAACGAATCGAGCCGCTCGCGAGCCGCTCGATACGAGCTCGACTCTAGCTCGATCAATATCGAGCTCGAGTCGAGCTCGAGCTGCTCGAGCCAGAGTCGAGCTCGAGCTCAAGCTCAAAACATTAAGCTCGTTCGCGAGCTCGAGTATATATATATATTTTTTTTTATTTTTATTTTTAATAGTAAAATTACATAAATATCCTTAATATTTTATTATTTATTAAGAAAAAATATTATTTTATTTATTTTTTATTTTTTCGAGCTCGAGCTTGAAAATTACCAGCTCGTCGAGCTCGAGCTCGAGTTCGAGTTCGATGAAATTAAGTTAAGGCTCGACTCGATAAGGCCAAAGCTCAACTCGGCTCGCCTCGTTTGCAACCCTAGTGATGGGTGGCGACGTGCGATGGTAGTGTAAGATGATGGATGGAAAAAGATAGAAGTGATAGGTTTTTATTTTATTTTTATTTTTTTGTTAGTTGTATTTGAAATTTGTATGGATTAAGTATTTTTAAGAGTATTTTTTGTAGTGTTTTATAGTTTGACTATATTTGAAAAACTTCTTTATGAAAAAATCGTCAATGCATACAAACAAAAAATGATAATAAAATAAAACAACCCCTACTGCCCCTTTCTCTTCCCTTACCTGTCACCACCCACCACCACCAACCACTGTCACCACCCTTCCCCTCATTTCTGTCCCTACACCACCACCTCCCTTCCTTCTCCTCATATCCCTCCTTCCTTCCTCCTCCTCTCCTTGCTTCCTCTTCATCTCTCTTCTCCCTCTCCTCCCTTGCAACCCTGTTCCTTTTTGGAAATCTTGCTATATGGTTGCGGCCACTGCAGCCAAATCTAATTCGGTGTCTAATTGCGAGCCGTGACCAAACTGGGAAGAATGGAGGGGCGGGGGATGTGTGAGATGGGAGGGGAGAGGAGGAAGGAAGGGGAGGAGAGAGTGGGAAAGAGGTGGTGGCAGTGATTGATGGTTGTGACAAGAAATAATGAATTTTTTAATAATATCCTAATAAAATTTTAAATTATAAAAACACCCCAAACTACATCTCCAAAAAATATCTAATTCAAACAAACAATCTAAAGTGAAAATTTTCAAATAAACGGTAGCAGTAAAATTTTTGAAAAATACTTTTGAAAACGTCTAATCCATATGAATTTGTTTTTAAACGCATCCTTTGGCTTGCAAGATAAAAAAAAGATAAGAGTTGGGTTCTTGTATTGAAATTCTTACCTCCATTTGTTCAGTTTAGTGCATATATAATCTCACTATAATACATTACATTAACTAATTGTCTTTTCCTACTTGATGCTCTTATGACACTCACGACAAGCATAGATAAACAAAAAATGGTTAGCTCATCATTAAAATTTTTAAACTTTAAACCACCACCTGAATTGAAACACTTTGTAGAAGAATTTTACATTTTTGCCGAAAAAAAAAGTCCATGCCTACTTAATATTGTTTATCCTTAGGACACCAAACACATGTACCTTTAACCACTATATAGGTCAAAATATTTAAAACTAATGATGAATATATAATAATATGATCAATAAATAACAATTTTATTAAATACGAAACTACAAAAGATTTCGAATTTCATACTTAAAATCCTATTTTATCTTTCACTCTTGGCATGTGTTTGAATTATTTCGCTAATATGCTTTTAGACTTTTAGTAGTGAACTAATACCCTCTTCTTTTTTTCTTTTTTTTTGGGAGGGAGGGGTAAGCAAAGTACTACACTTTGTTAATTTGTACTCTTAGTATACATTTTTAAAAAGGTTAGAAATCTTAAATCTATTGAATGTCTATAGCCCGCCCTTTGTTAAGGTCATTAATAGATGTTGTTAATTGAAGAACCCCAATTTCAAGGTTAAAAATTCCACATGTCACACGTTCAAGTAACAAGACATTGTTATTAGAGTTTACAGCAAGAGCATTGTTGAAAAGAAAAAATTAAACCTCTAAATCACCAAATCATATTAATGCTTTAATCTAGTATAGATAGATTCTGAAAGCTTTCTCATAGAACCCAAATATAAGGGGATAATTTTGAAAACGTCCCTTGTGCTTTCTCATAATATCACTCAAATCCCTTGAAAATTTTAAAATCTCTCTTGCCTCTCTTATCAGCATGACAAATCTAAATATCCCTGTCACAGGTCACAAATCGACAACACTAACCTTGCACTTTTAATAACTATTGAACCAAAAAGCAAAAAAAAAATGAGAATTTTTAAACCAAAAAATGTAGATAAAAAACAACCAAATCACTATTTAATAGAGAGGATGGTTGGATTGTGCGGTAAAGTGAGTGGAGTTGTATACTAGAGGTCTTGGGTTTAAAACCTCCTACTTATTAAAAAAAAAGGCTATTCAATAATGATCCATATTTCTTTGTATCGAGGTAAGTTAGTAAATTGAATCTAGTTAAAGTCAACCATTTTAGCAAGATTTTGGTAAGTAATTAACACCTTAAAAAATTTCTTACAACAATTATGAGGAAGTAAAGAATTTTTTTTTACGAAATATGTTTTAATATATGATGTAATTTAAGTTGTACTGAAAATTAAAATAATGTCTTCACCTATGTGGTTTTGTAACATAAATTTTGGTTATACAAAAAACAAATTATAAATAAGTCAAGAATTAAAAAATTAATCAAAATATGATATAATGATGAAATATATATCTAGGAGTATACTATGATTGTTTTTGTTAAAGCATCATTAATTATACTAGGTAATAGTTACTGTATATCTACAAAATTACTCGTTATTGCATTTATAACGGCTCATATTTTCATTTTTCTACTTTTTAACCTTATTTTTTTTATTATAAGCTTCATAAGTAGGATAACATAAGGGTATTATTGAAATAAAAAATTATCTTTCTTACATTTCCTCAAAAAAGGCTAAAATGTTACAAAATGCCAATTCAAGGGAGGTAAGTAGGATTTTCAAAACCTAAGGAGTATTAAGTGATATTATGAGAAATTTCAAGAGAAGTTTTTGAAATTATCCCAAAATAAGACATCCATGATCCATGCACCAAAATAAATAAATAAATAAAATCATGTGTCTCTTCTGCTCATGATTAGAGACCGATGCAACCTCATTCTAATTAATTGACGTTATAATTTCAGAAACCTCACCTGAGGTTCCTAATAATTTCATTGTCCTCCCCTGTGGCTTTTAAAATATCATTTATATCCCTTGTCACTCAATCACTATCCTCTCCAAAGTTTTTAAAATATCACTTATCTCCCTGCCAATCAATTGAAACCCAATGCTTACCTCATCGATGGTTAAATGATTTTATTACCCCTACAACTTAGGAAATTGTAAATAGTTATATGGAGAGAAACAATTGAGCCACTTGTACTACCATAATTTCAAGTGTAAAAAAATTTGAAAATCTTGAATATCAAATTTTATATTGATAGTCGTTAACATTTTAAAATTCTTTTTCTGAATTTTAGTAGTTCCTGTAATTTCTTCCCCCTAAAAGAGATTAAAATTCCTATTGAGATATTATTATTTCATAAATTTTTATAAGAATAACAAGATGAATATGAAAATACACAAAAAAATATATTGTTAAAATATGTTTAAAATTAGATTTTTTAAGTTATGGATAAAGAGTAGTTAATACATATAATCTATTCTTTCATTCTTTTCCAAAATATTTATTTTTTCTTTGTATATTTAATTCCAACAATATTGTTCAAAATTATTTTCTCCACTTTGTTTTACTTATTTTTCCGTTAGAGTCATTTCCTTTCTATTCATTCAAACATTGCCTGAGAGTTATCATTTTTTGTTACACATGATGGAAATTTCTTAGCAATGTGAAATAATGGACTTCATAAGTGCAAGAAATAATTCAAAAAAACATATTTTAGCATATTTTATATTTTTATTTATTATGTTATTTTTCATTGAAGAGACCATATTTTTCTTGTCCAATTCTTATTCAAAATCTTCCAAATTTGACTACTAAGAATTTAGGAATTCTACGTGTAAATATTGATTCTAAATTAA